CTCCAACCCCAATTGGATGAGCGGTCGCTGATTTCGATTTTGGTTTCTTCTTCTGTTCTACTACTCGGAATCACTGTCCAAGCTCTCCATTCCTTTCAATCCCCTGCGCTTTTGCTGCAACCACCACAAAAGAAAATCAAACTAGAAATTAGTAGTCCATTTTTAGAAGGGGCCCACTCAGAGTGTTGGTTAGGTTAGAAGTAGAACAATACCACACCTGATCACCCTAATGCTTACGATAAGCAAGTTTCGTGGTGGACCAATATCAATATTATAAATGGATCCTTTGGGCTTTCGCCATGGCCCATGGGGAGTAGTAGTACTGTAGTAGGAAGTAGGAAGAGAAAGAGATAACGTAAGGACTGAGGAAACGCATTTACCTTCTTCACGCACTTCTTCTCCCTAACTTCGTACCGGCCCCTCGTCAAGTCCGAAAGCCACATTCCCGGAAAAACATACTGCCCCAGCAATCCACCAAATACAGAGAGAGAGAGAGAAGAAAACGAAGAAATCAGATACTAACACAAGTCCTTTTTCCCTTTAAATAAATTGGGAAAAATAGAATTATTTACCTGGAGAGTCTTGTCAAGGGCTTTGGCTCTTTTCTTGGGCCTCTGAGGGAGCTTTGTGCCCTTCATAGCATAGAAATCGTCCTCTTTCTCCTTTCTTGAAAGAGATATGTAAATCCTTGGCCACTCAAAGTGATCGAGATTCACCTTCTCCCCTCCCCCTCCTCCGCCTACGCCGGCTGCCGCAGGCGTCGCTGTAGCTTCCTCATCCGCTGGAGTTGACCTAACATGGTTGATCATTAGCTCCGCCTGTGGCAGACACCCATTTCGCTTGTCACCCACAGCAATGGTGCTATAACAAGATGGAGCTTTATCTGGTGAAGAGGGGGAACGGGGTGACCTTTTCCGGTTAGTGCTGCCGCCGTTGCTCCTTGCAGGAGACCCGTTTCCGGCAGCCGGCCGATCTTCCAAGCTCCTGATCATGGTTAGAAAGAGATGACAGATGAGACCCCCTACTATTTACGACCAATAAAGACAATAAATAAAGGTGGTGGGAGTGGTGAAGGGTTTCAAGTAGAGAGGACTTCTTTTTTCTAAATAGAAGGGATCGGCAAATAGAGAAGATAGGACGAAGAAAAAGAAGAGAAAAGGACACGGGGATCTTTAATACCCCCTCCTCCTTTAAAAGAAAGACATATGACTACTCAGTTAACGTTGCTGTTGGTATGACTACGAAAAAGAAAAATATTATATATATATATCTAATAAAATTTCAGATTCCAACCAGAAGGAATTCACTTTTTCAAGCAGGACTGCAGGAGGTCGGAAGATCGATCGAATCCCATCAACAAAAACCAGAAGAAATACTAGGAAAGATGGAGGAAAAGAGAATGGGATTGGATGATCGTGGATACCCACAACTAAAAAGGCACGAGTTATAGCATATTTTTTCTATTTATATTAGGGATAAAGTGTAAATTAACTTGGAAATGATCTATTAATTACTAAAAGTTAGATAAACCTTACCAATCACATATTCTAGAAATTACAAAGAAAACTCGGAAGGAAATTCATAGAAAAAACAGGAGAAGGATGGATGAAATTTCAGAAAAAAAAAAATCCTCCCATTTTCCCTTTACTTTTAAAGAAAAAAAAAATCCCAATATAGAAATGACGCAGCTAACAGGAACCCAATTAAGAAGGGATAAATAAAAGAAATTAAAAAATGCCAGAAAAGATAAAAAGAAAAATTAAAAACCATAGAAACGCATTCGGGGGAGAAGAAAACCCTAGCACGATTTTTAAGTTTTGGATAAATAAGGAAACCCAATATTAATAACCAATAAAACTCAAAATTTGACCACAATAGCAGGAACAGGAAGAAACCCTAATAATTTTTATGCGCAGGAAAAGAAAGCAATCAACAGTAAACAACTCTTGGTGTTGGTAGCCGGTATCGATGTTTCCATCGAAGTCCGGAATTCTCAAGTATCATCAAAGAGGCAAGATACAAACCTACTACTGCGAAGGGAGCCTGTGCTTTCCCTGATGACGGGCATTGGAGGTCTCAGATTCGCACCTCTGTTGTACGAGCTACCACCGCCGGAACCGGGAGGTGGTGGTGGTGGCATTGCGCCGGTGTTATGGGTAGGGGACTGCTTCTGTACCCCTAAGCCCACCCTCCGAGGGATCTTGATCACTTGTCTCGCTGATAATTCATCGCTCATCACCCGTGCCTCGGACCTTGCCCCTCTAGACCTCTTATTCTGCCCCCATTGCAAGATAACATCCCCTCCTCCCCTGCTAGGGCTTGGACTTGGACTCCTTTCATGGCTCTGGCTCTTTTGGTGGCCATGGTTCTCGGATTGCGGAGAACTGGAAGCCGAAGCGGCAAAATGTGGTGAATTCTGTTCTGGGTTGGTTGTCGATCGGAACCTGAGTGGTTTTCCTTCTAAATTGTTGTAGCTTGCAATTCTGCCAGTCTCTACACCATCACTATCATCTTCTTTACAAGTTCTTACATGGGGTTTTCTTCCATTGCTAAGAGGAAGGCAATCTATACTTGATCTCTGGTATCTGTAACGAAAATAGCAGCTGGATTAGCCAGAAGGGATGCAACTCATGCAAGTAGAAGGGTTGATCCATCACAAAGAATACAACATCCCCGGGAATAAAAAGCACATAAGGAAATTATAAGAGTTATGAAAATTATGCAGTTTTACGCCCCAGATCACACCAACAACTGTATAAGAATCAAATGAAGGGGGCAAAACACATCAACCGCTTTATTAAATAAGCAGCTCCGAACGAAACAGAATCAAAAGAAAAATAAATTGCAGAGAACCATAAGTCTCTTGAGAAAGCAAGAGTTCAACAAGATTAGGGCAGAACTGGGTCAGAGCCACACCATTGCCTTAAGAGAGACAAGAGAAATGCMCCCCCCCCCCCCCTTCCCTCTTTGACAGACTAAGAAATGCAACTAAACAAATCGACAGGTCAGCTTGCAGCTGCTCAAAAGAAAAAGGAAAAGGGAAAAACTCAAATGGCACAAGTGATTCTCGAGGCTATTAATACAGCAATGGAAAACAAATTTTAAGAATTCAAATAACCACCCAAACCCAGAAATTACTTGCAGTTTTATGCAATGATTCATGAGATTCCGAATTCCTCCTTTTGATCCTCCCAATAGACAAAAAGGTAAATGCAACAAAAATAGGAGTTTAGGCCCAAATCGCCCCTGTTCCTCCATTTAAAGCGCATCTTGCTTCCTGCAATCAGAGAATAATACCCAGGATTTCTGTTTGGGAAAGAATAAAATCAAACCTAGATGAGATTGAAGGAGAAATAGCAATAACACCTCACATAAATTTTAAGAAGAAACGGCAATCTCAACAAATCGATTTCTTTCTGGTAAATCTAGAGATCCTCGAAAAGAACAGTCAATTACTTTCAATTCACTAGATTGTTAAATCCAAAAAAAAAGAAACCTACTCAAAACCGGACATTTTTAGTCAACCCAAAAAACCCGAAACCGTCGGCGACTCAGATCCCTTCAACCGGAACCAACAATTACAAGCTGCACTGAAACGTGAAAAGTTATCAGAAGGTTTGGTTGATGACTGGAAAAGATCCCCAAGATGAAACTAGTTATGTTTGCTCAAAAACCATGTAGTCTCTACTGAAAACAAAGACTCGTTGGAGTGCAGTTTCTCATTGAAAAATTGAAGAAAATAAGGACCTTTCTCTGATGGAACGATTAGGGCGAGTGACATTCCACCGCAAGGAATGGAACTTGCTTTCGCCGGAATCTATTTTGCCAGAAAATCCTGAAAGGAAATTTAATAAAAAAAAAATAACTCTTCTTAGGTAGAAATAACAAAACAAACAGAAAGGCACAAATCTCCAGAGTTGCAGCTCTGACATTAGTATCTCGCAACCAAATGATTCATTATAAGAGTAGAAGCATCTCGCCGGCGACATGCCATTCGTCGGAAGACCGTCTCCACGGAAAACGACCAAACCAACCAAAATAAAGCAAGAAACCACCATTATTGCTTAAGATCGGATAACTCATCCCTTTACGAAGAACTCAGATAAAGGCGACAGACGTTGTTGCCCTACTTTCGCTGTAATCAAATGGGTATGTCTCGAATGAGATATAACCAGTTCGAGCATCCGAAACAAAACCATTCGCTCTAACACTCAAGGCATCTCGCCGGCGAGATACGATTATTGCTTTGACGGAAAGGGGAGACTTTTTCGCCGGAAAACGGCCATACCCACCAATAGAAAAAGAAGACCACCATTTATCGGCTAAAGATCGGATAATCGGTTCCTTCACAATGAACCCAGATGAAAACACCCAGAACCGAATGGTCATCTCTCGACTTAAAGAAATAACCATTGTAAATATTTAACTATCCAAGACCAAACGGTTGCTCTAACAATTGCGGCGTGTAACCACCGAGACATGATTCAATGCCTCGCCGGAAAAGACAAGTTTTGGCCGGAAACCAAGCTAACCTACCCGAACGAAGCAAGAGGCCATAATTTTGTTCAACCAAAGATCGGACAATCGATCCTTCTCTGACGAACCCAAAGGAAAAAGTCGATCTCTTGGTGAGAGCGGATAGTAGAGAAGAGAAAAAGAGAAACCAAAAGGTGGAATTCTTGTTTGTTTTATTTAAAAGCTTTCTTGATTCATTGTGGAAAGAACAGAGAGGTCGAGCGAGTTTGGGAGAAAGCATTTTGCAGACCTCATCATATCTAATGCAGTGAAGATTCACGAAGGGACGCGGGGAATCGGCCACTCGCCGGAAACTGCTTCCGTCAAAGATGAACAAAAATCGTCGACGAGCAAATGGCTTCGATTCATGTAATCTCCTCAATGGGTCCTTTAATCAACTATCAGAGCACGAAGCAGGAAGAGAGAAGAGGAGAGAAACAAAGTCGCAGGAGAAGGCAGCGGAAGCTGCAGAAGCGAAAGGGATATAGTAGGCTTTATTGAGTGATTTATCGAAAACACCCTTTCGTCTTGCCTATATATACGAGACTACCCCTCCAAGTTTAATGTGAGTGACATAACCGTAAAGTGGGCAGACCGGCACGGCGTGACACGAACAACTAGCGGTCACGGCCCAAATAGAGGCTTTTTTTGGTGGTGGTGGTGGTGGTGGTGGTGGTGGTGGTGGGAGGGGGGTGGTTTTATAGAAATACCCTTAACTTCAATGAGACTCATCTACACCAAGTGTTATGAATTAACAAAATTAATTCATATTTGTCACCGGTGTGTCTTTATGTGTTAATAACACATTTAGGCTGAGTTTGGATGGAGTATAAATGTAAATATGTAGAATGTAAAACTTTATATTTTGTATTATTTTGTATGTATTTATGTTATACATATTTGCATTTTTACTCTTTTCAAACTGAACGTTAAGGTTGTGTTTGAAAAAGATGCAAATATTAGGTTGTGTTTGAAAACAATGCAAATAGAGTGTATATACAAATTTATAGAGTGTATTTCGGTCCATACAAATGTAAAATAGGGTTAGTTTTGTATTGATTTATTTTCTTATTAAGCAACTTTTAGTTGTAATGGATGCAAATACAATTATACAAATCCCAGTAATACTTTTTTTTAACAAAAGCCCACTTTGAATGTAAATTTACTTCTTATTTATGTAAAATTACATCTCATTTCTTATGTAAACATGCCTTAAAAATTGTGTTTTTTGTCATTGTCAATGAACAAATGCATTCTTTCCAAACTTTAGCAAAACTAAACCATAGTGCATATTTACACTGAACTATCATTTACACTATTTGCATTATTTCCAAACGTAGTCTTCTGAGATTTATTTTAGTTTAGAAAGTTTCTAGCCATTAGATAGATTTGGGAAATCTATCTTGACAAAGTTGATACTAATGTACTATCAAAATGGTGAAGCAACTTATCTCATCTGCTAGTAGTGGCGGATCTGAGACCTTTGATCAATGGGGCTAGGCATTATCATAGCATCAACTTAGTTATAGCAAGGTGGGTTTAGGGTGAGGATTATACTCCCTATCCTCGATCCCAATCCTCATTAGGGAGAAAGGTTAATCTCCATCCCCGATTCCTAATGGAGACAAGTTCTCCATTGGGGACCCAAATCCTTGACTTTTTTTAATAAATTTTATTGGGAAAAGATTTATTTAAAATAAAGGAACAACTTTAAAGCATATTACCTTGACCCTGTCCTCAATCAGATATCCATATTAATTCCCATCTCTGCCAAAGTAGTCTCCGTCCCGATTAGGTTGGGTACCCAATAGAGATTGGAAAATTCGTCATCTCTAGGTTTGAAGAGATGAAGTAGAGAGATAAGATTTAATTATGAGAAAAAAAAAACAAAATGAAGAAAAGGAAAGTGGGAAAACATAAGAGTTAAAACCCCAACTCACATCATAAATTGGCTCACATGAGATAGGGACATGGGTGTCATTCTTGTATATTTTTTTCTTTATTGCCTTATTATTAACCTTTGAAAAAAGGACCTCATTTAGAAAGCATATTTTATTTGAACCGTACTATTTTATTTGAGTGGGGGCAATTGTGAAAAAAATATTAAATTTATTCATAAATTTCATAACTATGTTTTTTTTTATCAAATTTAAGTGGAGGCAATTACCCACACTAACTTCAACATAGTTTCGCCATTACTGCTATGGTTAGACCCAAGGTACAATTAATGGGTATTTATGAGAAATGCTAAACAATGACCAATTTCCAATCATGCCCTAAACTTTAGAGATAGATGGACAAAATTGAAAAGTTACACTTAATCTTAGACTTAATGATATTATACTAGGTTTTCGACCATGATTCTTTTAATATACCAACCAGTGAGATAGTCTTAGGATCAAATACTTGGGTATGTTGGAAAGTTTAGAATACTACCTAAGTGAGTAATCGTTGTGATAGGATCAACCCCTTTGTCAAACAAAGAGAATATCCGGATTAACACTCTATCTGATGGAAATCTAAATCTATCAACACTAGATTTCAACTTGTTTTTGAAATCATATTGTAAAATATATCTATATTTATAATATCTCATTTTATTAAAAGGTTTGCAAAAGGTTTCAATCCCAATATCCATTTAAGCAGAGTGTGACACTACATTTAGTAGCCAGGGAAGATGTCATTTTCTATGAGCAATGCTTGATCATTAAGGGTGGAGAGGTTAAGAGTAAAAGATCATTAAAATGATTAAACCTGATGGACTTTACCTTATGTTAATCCATTATCCCTTATGGTCTATTTGGTTGTTGAGTAAGGATGAGATGAGATGGGATGAAAAGGGAAATTTTTTTTTCTCAACAATGTCACTTGTGTTTGGTTGCTGAGACCAATTTGTTCAAGTGAGAAGAAATGAAAGTTATCGGTTAATTTGATCTTTACAGTGAGATTACAGGCTTTGATATGAGTTGTAGCCTTGATAACAACAAGGAGGTGATCTTCCCCCTCTATACGCTTCTGCCTCCAAAATTTGGCAATCTCCTACTCGTCTAATCAGGACCTAGTACCTCGGCAATGCTCATGGTGGTGGTGGTGAAGACAGTGGTGGAAGAACGATGCCTGATTTGGAAGAGGCAAACGTCGGAAGCTGTTTTTTGGCAATGAAAACCAGAGGTGGCATCGGTTAGTAAATCGTTGGACGACGTCTGAGAAGAAGACTACGTTCAATTGCCTCCCTCGATGAAATTTTCTCACTCAACTTCCTTTCTTAGTGGGGTCACACCTATTTGGTGAGACATCGCGTCCCAGAAATTGAGATGTGTTATCTTGTCGCATCTCACCCTTTCGTCCAAAACAAACCTGGGAAAATAGGAATCTTTGAAGAATATTCCTACTTTCCTATCCCAATCATACAAACCAAACGGACCATTAGCTTCATAGGGTGGTTAAAACCAACGGGTCACTTAGACTTAAGTATTGGGACCATACTTGGCCCAATTTGATTGGCTCAAGGATTCACTAGGTTTACTCAATGAACTCAACCCATGTGCTTTTTATTCATTGCATGAGCCAAACCCATATGGACAAGTATAAGACTTTTGTGGGCCTCACATCATACATTATTCAAGCACAATAAGATTTGCAACAATTATGTTAACTAATCACTTAAAAGGGATATAAGAAGTAGAGATCGATATGTGCTTGTGCACCTCTTTCTTGCACCTTGAATTTTCTCTGTTGTGTTTCTTTTGTAAAGCATCAAAGAAATTAAGTGATTAACAATTGAAAATATCCAAGCAAGTTGGAAGTGTAAATCGGCTAAAGACTAGTTGCAAGGTTGACCTCACCATATCAACTACGCCATCTTCAATCATGAGGGCAATTTGAGATTAAATTTTAGGCGTAAAACACCACTCTAAGAGTTGTACATTTTGAAATTCAGCCACTAAATCATAACTTCGTTCAATCCATATTCTGATATAACAATCCAAATAATAGTGGCATTAAAGCATTAGGTCCAGACCTAGCACTGGATTTGGACTGATTTGATTCTTGAATCAAATCGGTTGGAACTAGTTTAGTCGATTTAGCATAGTATAGTTGTTTTAGGAATTCGATTCTTTGTTTTTGGGCCATAGATCTGGATATTATTTCTTTTTATTTTTTCGTCATTATTTACAATTGATTTGTGGTGAAATTTTTAATTTATTGGCTGGAGTGTGGTAGAGATTGAATTTTTTACTTATTCTAAGATTGATTTACATGGGGCGATTTCTCATATTACATACAATTTGTGATTATTTTTTTAATTTTATTAGACGGCTTGTATTAGGATTTTTTTCTGATGTAAGCATAAAAAAATTAGGGTTTTCTTATATTTCACACTGGAGGAAGCGATGGAGATCTTATCCCTTGAAGGAGTTTAAGTTCAATGCAAAGTTGTAGCAATTTGAATCCAATTTGGACCATCACACTCCTAGTCAATTATATTTATCATTGTTAATGTTGTTATGGTTATTTTGTTGTTCTGATTATTAATTAAGATTGATAATATTTAGATCATAAACCCTAATTTGGTTCATGAATTATAACACCAAACCCTAGGCCAAATTGACCTAGGATGGGCTCAACTTGTTGGACTAATCCTATGGTTGTTGGGTGGACTGTTAACAGCCCATAAAGATCATTGTTAAGTGATCAAATTTCTAAGTTGGATCAAAGTATTGATGGGCCATTACATGGATCAATTTGGCCCATGCTTGGAAACCCAATTTTGTTAGGTTGAAGCATAATTTAGCCCATTTTGTTTTGAATTGGCGTATGGGCTATATTGCTTTTTTGTAGTTGGGCCCATATTAGTTAAATTAGTTTAAGAAAAATATTATAATTATGGGTTGATAATGTGTTAATCTACAAAGATCTGGGTTTTACAAGTTTTTTGATTCCTTACTTGCTTACATTGGATGTTTTATGCTATGTGAATGTATTTCTGCCATATGGGCCATAAGTACTTGGCTCACATTGAGACTTTAGTGGCATGCTGATTGTAGTTGAATGCACATCATTATCATGATGTTTAACATATCATTGAACGATCCCCTTATTTATGGGCCCCTCAACTTATTTCCTCTCTAAAGAGGGAACCTCATAGTAACTCTAACCTTGTAGGACCGTACAAATTCGATTTTATGAAAGTTAGTGAAAGACACCTTTATAAGACATAAGAGTTTAATTTGGGACTGTTACTTTGGTTCCCTCATGAATAATATAAGTGTATAATGATATGGATCACTATTAGATGACATATCTAAAGACCTTCTGTTATTAGTGTGAAAACAAGCTAAAATGGTAAACAAAGATGCACCATAAAATTGGGTTATCTACTTAACTGCGGATGCCAGTTGGATAACCTCATATGATGATAAGGAGGGCATCATAAATTAGTGGGAGGTTCTTTCATAGTACCTTGGGGTTCCCAACATAAAATCCCATTCTATGGTCAATAACATGAAATGATAATAGGTCGTGGATTAATTAATTTCTCGTGCAATTTATAGAAATAACACAAACCATTCACTAGACTTCTAGCTGACAATAAGCTCAAAGGACCAAATTATACCAATTGACAACACAATCTAAGCATAGTACTCATGTCTAAAAATCATGACAAGGTAGCCACCCAAAAGTGATGGTGTAAATGGATCAGATCATGATCCAAAATTTGATCCTATTTTGTCGAATTTGAATATCCCTAGGGGTGAGCAAACATTTTATTTGATTAAAACTTGAACCGAATAAACCGAAATTTTAAATGGGAAAACAAACCAAAACCGAAATAATGAAAAACTGAAATAAGCGAAACTGAATTTCATCACTATATATATTTTAATATATAATAGATATTATATATTATGTAATAAATTATATATTTTAATATATAATATATTGTACATATTATATATGTATTAGATGTTATATATATATATTATATAGATAGTAAAGTTTGGTTAATTCGGTTAACCAAATTTCCAAACTTGAAAACCAAAACAAAAACTAAAATTTTATAAAACCAAAATAGTTGAACTGAAATAACCAAACAAATTGAAAAAATTGGAACCTAAATTTTGTTCTTGTTTTTTTATTCTAACCGACCAATGCTCATCCCTAGATATTAGACCGGATTGGATAATGGGATCCAATTGAAAATGGGATTAAATTCATATTACCCACCATTTGGTCTAAAAGAATTGAAAATGGGATTAAATTCATTAAATTCATATCACACACACATAGATATCTATCTATCTATCTATCTATCTATCTATCTATCTATCTATCTATCTATATATATATATATATATATATATATTATGTTTATATTTTTTATAAATATATGTATATATTTGATGAAAGTAGTTTAAAAATACTTGCATTCTTTCGTTTTTCATTATATAGATTGTTATGTTTTTTAAATTTTTAGAAATTAAATCAGATCGGATTATATTTGGATATTCAACATCTTTAGTGGATATGGATTCAAATTGATGTTTCTAAGATTTGACAAGAACTTTGTATTAAATTGAATTTACTATTTATTGACTATGAAGAAACCTTCTCATTCAAGGCCATGCTAAAATCCATTATAATACTATTGGTAATAGCTACACACCATGACTACGAAATTTGGCAAATGGATGTTAAGACAACATTACTAAATGAATATCTTACTGAAAATATCTATATGCATCAATTGGAAAGGATTCATTGCTAAAAACTAGGAACACATGGTGTTTAAATTTAACAGATCCATATATGGACTAAAGCAAGCTTTCATAAGCTAAAATATCCAATTTAACTCAATAGTGTAACAATTTGACTTTGAATATAATCCAGATGAACCTTGTGTTTACGTAAATATAATAGGAGAAAAGGTTGTGTTCTTAGTATTATATGTAGATAACATTTTGTTAATTAGGAATGGTGCAGGAATGTTATCTACAATGAAAGTATGGATTTTGCAACAATTCTTTATAAAAGATCATTTTATATCTTAGGACATCGACTCAATAGAGATAGATTAAAGCAATTGATTGAATTGCCACAATCTACTTATGTTGAGAAGATTGCCAAGTGGTTCAACATGCAAGGCTCCAAGAAGGGATTTATCCTTTTTATGTGCAGGGTCACTTTCTCTAAGGGTATGCCACTTAAGACTCCTGAGGAAATAAAGGACACAAAATATATTTCTTATTCCTCTCCCATAGGGAGCATCATGTATTCTATGTTGTGTACTCGACCCGACATTGCACAAATTGTTAGTGTTGTAAATAAATATCAATCCAACTTAGAATAGGAACATTGGGTAGTTGTGAAAAATAAACTAAAATACCTTTAGAAGAATAAAAGACTATTGTCTCGTCTTCAGTCATAGTTCATTACAAATTATCGGGTATCCATCTTGGTTTGCAAAGTGTCGACTTGATGCTTGGGTAATGGGTTTATAGTGATGTTTGTCTACTGTTGATTGCTTGGACCCGAGATAGTGATATGTTTATTGTCCATCTGGTCCTATATGGCATTCTTTAGTGGTGAGAGTTGTTGGTCTAGTGATCTAGTCCCTAGTGAATTTCACAAATAGCAATTCTATTAGACTATGATGGTAGAGGTTTTGGAAGTGGCTAGGTGCTAAGGGAGTCTAAAGGCCCATCTCAAGTAGGCCTGGGAGTAGTTGGCTCATGGGTCTACCTAAGTCGGTATACTCTTTGTCTGGTCATTGAAGGTACTGACTCCTGTACTGCCTAGGTTGGTTGTTCTAGCCATGTTGAGTTTATTCCAATTACTCTCATAGAGTGATATTTTTCTTGAATTATTTACCATTGGTTGAGTCATATAGTTGGTTAAAAGTTAATTGACCTCTCGCTTGGAAGATCCATCCCCTGTGGGCTTGTTGCTGTTGGTGGGTGTGTTATTGGTCTTGTTTGCAGGGGAACAAGTGGGATTGTTGTACCGACTGCCAATGAATCTTCGGTTTGACAACTGATGTAGACTAATTAGTGGAATGTATGATGGTGGGTCAACATCGGTATACTCAAATATTCTATGTTTAGAGTCTTCAAAATCATAACATTTTGGTCTTCTTCTCTTGGCCTTTTTAGCACTTGAGCCACTTGGGCCCTCTACCTAGAAATAAATTTCGTAAATGATTCATTAGGGTGCAGCTTGATTAAATCTAGTTTTTGCTGAGACAATTGAATGCTTATATTATATGAATAGCATTGCTTGATCATTAAGGTAAAAGATGGTTTTTTTCTTCTTCTTTATTTCTATTATATGGTGGGCTAATTTTTCATTTCTGTTACATAAAAGCCACATCACTGGATGGCAAGATATCTGCAAGAATAAGTGATATTTTTTATAGTAGTTCATTGTAAAGTTTTCAACGGTTAAAGGAACTAAAGTTAGATTTATCATATAGAAGTTAATTCTTGCAAAGGTAACAAGAATTCAAATAAAATTATGACGAAGGTAATTGATAAAAATTATTAATTTTATTAATGAACCATACTAAATAAGAATAATAAGAATTTTATTAATGATAAATAAGAACAATAAGAAGTTTATTAATTCTTGTTACCTTTGCAAGAATTTTATTTGGACATATTGTTATGTTAATGAACCATAATAAAGGTGATAAATAAGAACAATTTTTATAAATGTAGGAATATAAAAAAAATTACAAAAAAATTTAGGAATATATTATATACTATCATCATTACAAAATTGTCACATGCAAAACACCTATACAAATACTAGTAATGGAAGTGCTTATAAAACAACTGGAAAATTGTTGAAACGAAGTTCGTACTCACTCGTGAAGTTCAACTAAGTTGGTAACACTCAGGAGCTTATCTAAGGTTGTAAGAGCTTTAAAAATCCTAGACTATGTTTATTTTCAGTATAAATATGGACCAATGTAAAACTCCACTGTCGGTCCATATTTTCATGTGTTTGTTTTCTATGTAAGTTTTTACATTGAAAATCGATATAAACATCATGAACGATTGAGTTTTACATCGATTATCGCATTTTAAAAAGTTCAAACAATTCATTCATTTTAAACCCGTCTGTATTGAACTCTTTCGATCAATGGCAGTTTACACCGAAAACAAACGCAGCCCCACAGTTGTAAGGCTTTGTTAGTACCCAAATAGCTCAACTGATTTAGTTAGTAGAAATTCTTAAAGGGTTTTTGAGGTACAAGACGTAAGCAACTGGTTTTTTATCTCCTCATAGACTATTAGCTCTAACAAAATAGAGTAGAACTTTAGTTTATGCAAAGAGAAACATAAAGTAGACAACGACGGGAGAAAGATCTAAGGATAGGGCTGCAGATGAATTGGATTGAATCGGCTATAGGCATATCCGAATTGAATTGGCTAACATTCGAATCCAAATCGGATCATATCTATTAAATATCTAGCGGGTTTGAATCAAATTCGGATTATAATGGGCTATTAAATAGTATAAATAGATTAGACTAAAAATAATAAAAAATGTTATATATTATTAATAAGATGAGCTAAACATGACTTTAATAATTTGTTTTATGAACAAAATGGATGGAAAATTACTTATATAAAATTTGAATATATAACAATTTAATGAAAATATAAACATTAAGACCAAAAGGTATAATATACTTTTTAAATATATATATATATATATATATATAATCGAATAAGGATAAATTCATATTTGATCCAATTATAAATGGGTCAAATTCGGATCAGGCTTAATCGGATGGAATTAGAATTTGAAATCGAATAATCGGATACCGTTTGCAACCCTATGTATAGGGGTACTCTATGTTCAAATTTTGCATTCATGATTTCCTTTAATTTTTCACAAACATGTTTGGATTTAAGGATATTACAAGGAGGGGTTAGACTATGGAAAACAATCGACGAATAAACTGAAATCACAAACATAGATTGAAAATTTATAAAAAGAAACAAGCTTGGAAGCTAACGTTTAGGTTTAGCTCATGTTTCTTTGGAGAGATGGATTGTGAGGGAGTGAGACCACTCAGACCAGATGCCCCGTTAGCTTTCTATTGGCGAGAAGAGGCCGACGGAAGTCAGAGATGGAGATTCTGATGATCAATTGGGGAAGAAGAGGAGAGGGGTTTTGGATGGTAACATGAATAAGGTTGCGGAGACTGTAGAAAGCTGAAGATCACTTGCAGGTTATAAATAAAGATCAAAGGATGCAGAATTTTATTTCGGAGTTGAGCTTTTACATTAAAGAGTAAAGATGAAGACAAAGAAAAGGCATAAAAATGAGGGGGGTGAGACAACGACAACGATTTTGGACTCAGAGCTCATGATGCTTTTGAAGCAACAACCGACTTGTTTGCTATGAAACCGTTTAATCTCAGAGAACTTGTTCACAGGGTTAGAGAGATGGGATTCTCTGCAGATTCAAAATTTATGTTATCATTTTGAAAATTTGAGGAAGAATGAAGATGAAATAGTCTTTTTAATCTTTCGTTAATGGATACTGTCAGAAAAATTAATGGCACTTTAAATAATTTTTTAAATGTTAGGGTAAGTTTCACATTTGGTAAAATATAGGGGTAATTTAAGTATTTTACCCATAAATATACGGCGAAGGAAATAAGATCCTATCAATTGTGACGGAGCTGAGGTTCAGCCGGCAGCAAAACTCCGCTGCGACTGTTGACGTGTGACGGGTTTTTCTTCAACCGCTCTTTTACAGGATTAAGCGGCGAATAGTGCGTCCTTTCATTTTGGAGAACTGGAGACCGTTTCCTCCTCTCTCTGATAACCACGTCTTCGTCTCCCTTTCTCTATTGCTATCCAATTTTCCCTGATGTATGTTATTAATTTCTATTTATTTATGGATTTTCTTATTTTCTTCTTTCTTCTCTCCGTTATTCTTCTGTTCCTCAACGGTTTTCTCTCTGAACCATCTGAAATCTCCAAACTCTTCCAAATCGAAAACCCAAAAAATTCCTCCAATGGGTTTGTCGAAATAACTTCCTCATTGTCAAAATCCAGCTGGGATTATCCTTCTAATCCTTCCTACATGTATAGTCTTCATTTGAGTTTGAGTTTCTCAGTTGATACATGGAAGCGGAGCAAGAAGCATTAGTTTCTGATTGATGACTTCAAGGGTAATTGCGCTTAGGGGGAGAGAGAGCATATCATTGATGCAAACTTTGGATTATTGGTTCGTTCTAAATGTACATTATTTTCTGCTCTATAGAATTCAATTGTTCCTTTGGCTTAGTTTATTTGCTTGCAGTGCGAATTTCATTTACACCGATATAAATGCATGAGACTACAAATAGGACTTGAGTGTAATTCTGCTTTACTTTTGCTTTATTTGTTTGTGAGAAGTAAATTAAGTGATTCCCACTTAACTTTATATGAAAGAGAATGGAGGTAAGAGGAGTGTTATTTATTTGGGAATGAGGTAGGAAGCAAGATAATGTGGTTCCACTTTATATGAGAGAGAATTGGGGTAGGAGGAATGTGGTGCAAATTCTGTATCAGTTTTTGGGATGCAAAATTTGCACTAACAATGAGTGCAAATGAGACAAAAAATTACAAAATTTATATCAGGTAAGAGTGCAAGTAATAGCTATGAACAAACGGATGCAAAATTTGTATCAGGTTCAATTTTACAATCCAAACAAAGAGCCTTTATATTGATGGTTCTGTTGGCATGGCCTAAAGTAGGATTTTTCTTTATAGTTATAATTACTCATTACTAAATCTATACTATTATATATTGGACACTTGCCTTGGTTTTAGTGCAGTCATAAAAGTTAAATTTGATAACATATTGTTAACTTAATGTTTTTACCTTTATTTGCATACGTGCATAGCACATGCCCTCGCACTGGTGTCAATACAAATAAAGTAATATTGATTTTTTATCTTCTTCAATGGACCGCGTCCATGAATTGTTAATTTTTACAGATATAGATTTGGGTTAAAGTTTATGTTATCACTCTGGCACTTCGTGTTCATCTGACCTGTAAGTTGTACTCAAGGGTTGCTCGGGATTGCCTCCATGGTATCATCAGGGACTTTCAAGCGGCAGAGCTCCTATGAGGTATGAAGTACAAAATACTTATTGATAATTAATCATGTTTCACTTTTTTCCTCTATTGGAAAACTTTTTATTAATTATTGATCATATGAGTGATTGTGGAAATTTTGAGAGGTTAACAACTTGAATTTTAGAAAAAAAAGTGATCTTTTGAAGCCCTAGATGCAGTGATCCATTTGGGTACATTATCAGTTGTGTTTGGTACCTTTGCTGTTGCTACCTGAAGCAGTTTGAGTTGAATACAAATTGGTGAGAGATATGTCTTGTCACATCATATACGTTATTATTTCAGCTAGAAAGATTAGACTCCACCCCTCTTAGTGCAAGAAACATTTCTACAAACAACTTACCACACATGCATTTTTAAGGTATGCATGTTTCAACTATAAACAGCCTCAAATAACAGTAGTGTGCTAATTTGTATTGATCAACCCAAAACATTTCAGGTAGAAACAGCTATTGTACCAAACACAACCATTATGATTTCCACCTTTGTCTCTAATTTCAATTTTTTTTTTGCTTATTAAGCAATGGTTTAACATTGTAATGCAGATGAGAAACATCCACCAGAAAATGCACCATGTGAACTCAAAAAATTGAATCCAATTACAAAAGATAGTGTTTACTTGATTGATGTTCCACCATATGAATGCTTAAGTTAGTGATCCAGCTTCCAAAGGTAGCATTGATTCAACCAGTAACCTGCCATGTAAAGCCAAAAAGATGGATCCAACTTCTAGGACTGGTGCTAGCCTAAACAACAATCCATGTCCATTGCCATGCCCAAAGGCATCTGTAAATTCAGAAACAATAGCAACAACAGGAACAGTAGCAGCAGCAATACCAACAACTGCAAAGACAAATGATGCAAAGAGAAGTAATTCCATCACCAATAATTGCCGAGGGAGCTGTAGTAGCACCCGTAGTGACAGCATAGATAGCTCCACTGCACCCCTCAAACCCCACACTGGTGGTGATGGTCGGTGGGAGGCAATTCAACTTGTCACTGCCAGAGAATCCCCTCTTGGTCTCAACCATTTTCGGCTTCTTAAGCGACTTGGATATGGAGACATTGGAAGTGTCTACCTTGTTGAACTTAAGGGAACCAATGCATTCTTTGCCATGAAAGTGATGGACAAAGCATCACTGGCTAGTAGAAACAAGATACTCCGAGCACAGACAGAAAGGGAGATTCTTGGGCTTCTTGATCACCCCTTCTTGCCCACTCTTTATTCACATTTTGAGACAGACAAGTTCTATTGTTTGGTCATGGAATTCTGCAGTGGGGGTAATCTGCATTCTCTTCGGCAGAAGCAACCAAACAAGTATTTCAGTGAGCAAGCTGCACGGTCAATTTCTTCTCTCTCATCCAGTTATTTTGAATTTCCTATTCTATTTTGTATTTTTCATATGTTTGCCTTTGCATGTGCTTATGAAGATGTTGGCACTTTATGTGGAAGCATTCATGCCTGTACTTATTTATCAAATTTTGAACTTTTGAAATATGATACTGATCTCTGGTGAGCAGAGGTTCCTGTTTGCATTCAGTATCCACAGCTTTACAACATTTCTATGTACAAAAGCAAACCCAATTCGGATATGTTTTCTATTGATCAAGGCACCACCTCATGGAACTTAGGCTCAGTTTGGGAAGAGTGCTACAGTGAAAATACAAGATTTAGAAATGCCATACACAAGGTTTTGTATTGATCATATTTGTATTTGCACTCTTCCCAAATTGAGCCTTTGGTTTTAGGAAGGGTTTGTTTGAGAGAGAGTTGGAAAATTCGGTTAGACGTATTTCCAATTTGAGTAGTGTCTTCATTTCTTCCAATGGTTCAAATGATAGGATTTGGATGCCCAGCTCCTTGGGTGTTTTCTCAGTGTCCTCTTTCATTAAAGACTTTGTTCTTGCTACCAATCTGCCTTTCCTCCCTTAGTTTCCTTGGAAATTCATATGGGTTGGTCCTTCCCCACCAAAAGTCAAGATTTTTTCTTGGGAAGCCTCTCTTAATTGCCTTCAAAGGAAGAGGCAACACTGGTGCTTGTCCCCTCATGTCTTCTTTCTTTCCCTTTCTCTTATAGAATTTAGAATCATTTCTTTTCTTTATTTGGCAAGAGGTGGAATGCCTGACAAATCCATACAAAGAGAATGAAGATGCTTTGGCATTGCATAAGAACAACAATTTTATGGTGTATTTAGGGGGAGAGAAATGCAAGATTGTTTGAATACAAAGAACTTAATGTGGAAATTCTCATTGAGTTAATTGAAAATAAAGTTGCTCATTGGGTATTGGCATGTCAAGATTTCCATGGGATAAGCATGGATAATATTCTTGGAGAGTGGAAGGTAATAGCTAATGTTGCTATATCTAGACCACTTAGAGAAGCTATTTGGCAATCTCTGGATGCAGCGAGTCTCAAATTTAATTTTCAAAGGTGCAATTTAGGTAATCCTAATGAATCTAGTTAGGGGTACAAATGGATCGGATCATGATCCAATCCAATCCGATATCCGATCTTATTTGGTTGAATTTGGATCACCCCCTATTCAAATCTTTGGATCGGATAATAGGATTCAATCAGAAATAGGATCGGATTCGGATCCCTATCCGATCCGATATATATTATATATTTATAAATATAAATATATATAGTACATATATATGTTATTTATTTATTTATAAATATATTTTTATAAATTTGTTATATTATTTATTTTTTTATAAAAAACATGTATGTATGATGAAAATAATTAAAAAATACTTGTATTTTTTGTTTTTACTTTATTTAAATTAGTATATTTTATTGTTCTTTTAATAATTTATTAATTTTTAAAGAAAACAAGTTGGATCGGATCAGATCCGAAGATCCGACTTATCGATAGGATTCAAATTCAAATCGAGTCCTATAAGATCTGATTGGATATTTGGAACTTCGGATCCGAGATTAACAGAGCCAGATCGGGTTCAAATATACACTGATTCGAGTCCGACCTGGCCCGATTCGTTTGCATCCCAAAATCTGGGGTGGGAGGTGTGTTAAGGAACCAAGGTGGAAACATCATGCTAAGCTTCTCAGGTAGTATTGGTTTTTTTAACTCATTGATAGCTAAGAGCTGCTCAAGTCATAGAATGGGAGGGGACATGCTAATTGAAGGTGATTGTAAGGTGCTTATTTACTTGGATAAATTTTGAGAGGACTCTCCTTGGAGATTTCCTCGGTAGAAGTTTGAATTGATTGTTCAAGTGGACTCCCAGGTCTACTAATTCCCTAGATGAGTCTTTGGCCAGAGCAGGTGTATCTAGACAAGTTTGTGACTGGGGTACACTAGGACCTAGGGCTCTTTTGTAACGGGGGTGTTTTTATGAGTATTTTCTTGAATGGTCAGCCATTTGCTGTTTTGTTGTATTGATCCTGATGCCTACTTGTTGAGAGATGAAGGCCAGTTTGCCCATTGAGGAAATTGTTGAGAGAGATGTTGAGATTGGTAAGAAGCTTGGACTGTTTTTTTTTTGGGGGAGGGGAGGGGTTTGCTAGGAAACTCCTTTGAGGAGTTTGAGAGGAGGAGAGAAGAGAGGCTGAAGAAAGTGGTTATTGGGGGAGGGGGAGAAATGTGGAATGAAGAAGACGAAGGCCAGGACTCAGGAGGAAGGTCTCAAGGAGGAGGATTGAGGAGAGGGCTAGTATCCAAGGTTCAAAGTATTGATACGTATTGGCTCGTATCGTCCAATACGTATCGCATTGGAGCCTTCCGGATATGCCCCTACAGGGGGTGTTTCGGGTCAACAAGTGGTTCATGGGGTAGACCGGCCTTAAACCGGCCTCTCTGAACCAAATTCGAAAAAAAAAACAATAAAAAGAGTAACCGATACAGGTCGATACGCCCTACTGGCATATCGCCCTGTATCGGTACTTTGAACCTTGGTGGTATCAGTGTTCGGTTCCAGAAAGGTGGAGGTGCGCTGGAGTCTTTTTAATTGGGGGCAAAAAGGTGTTTTTGTTGTCCTTTGTTTCAGTCTGTTGGCTTTTGGTTGTTGGAGGTCTAGTGTCTTGTTTGTTTTGTGTTTAGTAGGTGAAGGAAACTACTAATATATGCCCTGTTGTTTTACAAACTACTTATATATACCTTTTAAGATGACCCCATATGACACAAGTAGACCCACGATTAAGGAAACATTTAGGGCTGTTTCTAGTTATCATTAAATATTTTTGTAATCCCAAGTTTATCCTTCTACTTTAAAAACACTTTTGATGTTCTTCAAATTTCTCAATCAAAATACAGCCCTCATCTCTCTCTCTCTCTCTCTCTCCACCATTCTTGGTTTATCGCACACAAGTGCATTTGCTTTTCAGAGCATCAAAATTATAGAGAGAAAACTGTAAAGAACATGAAACTTACTCTCTGTCCTGTTGTGGATTGAGGCCAGCAGGGAGATACCCACTGAGAATATCAAGAATCTATTTGCTCTATGATGATTGAAAAAAAGGAAAAAAAAAGCATCATAGATGATGTCTCTGGAACCAAAGCAAGAAAAGGGGAAAAAGCAAAACCACTACAGCTCCTAATTGTATCTGTGAAATTATAATATCCCACATTGCATCTTCTTCTTCTTCTTTTACTTTTGCATGGAACCCTAACCGATAGATTTGATTGAAGGTTAACAAGTTCCAAAGAAAAGGGATCAAAAAAGAAAAAAACACACTCCAGCTCCTAATTGTGTGCATGAAATTATATTATCTCACATTATACCACTTGCAAGGGTAGGGTCTTGTTTTGAAAATTTAATGAACAATGAGAGACACTTTTGTCCTTTTCGTTTTATCTGTTAGACTTAACCTTTCAGAGGTCAACAAAGTACATATAAGTAGTTTTTGAAATTACAGGGTATATTATAAGTAGTTTCCTCAAACCTCAGGGTACATGTAAGTAATTAACCCTAATAAAATATGTTAACTTATATAAAAATATGATACTGATCTCATATTTCTAAAAGCTTTTTTCTTTAGCCCACAATGAAGTTCATATAACTTGGATGCTAGATTTTAGAACTGATTTTGTTTTTGTTCCTTTCTCTATTTTATTAGTCTAATGGAGAACTTATTGATGCACATATTATTACTAGTAAACATGTACATGCATTTGCACGTGACAGTATCTCCAAGACAAAACTATTTACAATACATGGACAGGTTTTGAACAATTATAAGTGGGCAGGTTCTTAACTGTTATAAGTGGACAGTTTTTGAACAGTTATAAGTGGGCAGTTTTTGGAGTGACAGTAAAGATATATATGCCCTTTTTTATGCCCATTTTATGTTACTTAGATAAGGGGTAAAAATGTCTAATAAAAAGTCCAGAAAATGGGGCTATTCGCTCTTTTATTAGTAGTATAGATTGGCTTCTGAAACAATTATCAGTTGGATATTTCAGTGAATGGATTTCCTAGGATGACAAATGTGAAAACATGTTTTTTGATGAATAATAGTAAATGTGAAAACATGTTCAGGTTTGAGAAGAGACATTGCATGCTAGATTGTTGGAAGTTAGGTCTTATCCATCCCTAGATAGTCTGGACCAGTATTGGCTAATAGCATTGTGGCCATATTTATGTGCTTACTAGCAAACTGTTTAGAACTTAGTTAGATTCTCTAATTAAATCACTGTTATCATCATCATTATCTAAGGGTCTAAGCCTTATCCCAACTATATGGGGTTGGCTACGTTGGGTCCTTTTTCACCTTCCCATTCTATTTACTTGCTATACCCATTGTTGAATTATGAGCACTTAATCATTTCTTAGTACAACCTATGTCCTTTTTGGTCTGCCCTTAGCCCTTCTTGTCCCTTGAACTTGTGACATATCTCATTTTGTCACAAGTGTTTTAGGGTGGTCTTATGTGCATGTGAACAAACCATCTAAGTCTACTTTCTCTCATGTTATCACCTATTGGAGATACTCCTAGGTTCCTTCTAATGACTTTATTGACCCTATTTTTTCTAGTTTTTCCACTCACCCATCTCAACACACACATTTCTACCACACTCATTTTCTTGGACATGTTTTTTGTCTGCCTGAAACTCTACTCCATATTTCTAGCCTTACAATTGTTTTATAGAAAATTTCTTTTAATCTAAGTGGTTTTCATGTATCACATAAAAGTTGATATACACCTTTTTATTTTTCCCATCCTGCTCTAATTTTATGGGTAAAATCCTCAATATCTCCCTTGTTATGAATTATTGAACCAAAGTACCAGAAAAGGTCGCATTGAGTTATCTCTTGGTCACCAATCCCAAGTATATCCTTATCCTTATTATTATTATTATTAAATTTACATTGCATAT